TATTTTTTTGGGGAATGGGCATCTGAGTGGTCGTTTACTTTCTCGCGGATACCACACGCCAGTGCGCAGCATCAATCGCAAAGCGGGCAGCACTCATCGAATTTCACTTTCTCGTACGGTCCTAGTGATATCCTGCAAAACTAACACTTTTAATTAATCCAACAGTTCTTTTTTCTCCTGTGACACATGTTTGTGGAAGTGAATGTATAGGAACTGATGGGACTAAGAGTAAGCTTACGAAAGTAACGCAGATTTTTGCCGATGCGTGCGTCTGTGATTGCTTTTGCTCTGAAGATGTTTTACAGACAGATTTTGGTCGAGGTAGGAGAAATTAGATATTTCAGTGGCGAAAGACTCTACTCCTAATATGAATATGACGCATGTTTTTTTCAAAAACAAAGCCTCGGACGAGTTGCTGATCAGCAAATTGTTTTTTTTTTTTCAGATCTGGCGGAAATTCACCCCGTCCAAGGATGCAGCATTTGCAGTGCGCGAACATGCCGGCCACACGATGAAATGCTCGATGGAAAATTCACTAACCTACGATACACGAGATCGGCCTATTCTAGCAACACAGGGCACACTCCTGAAATTCACCCAGGAATATGCGGGTTTTTTCGGTGATGCAGCGTTTTTGAAGCATCAAATTGATGCACAGGTCTGTTGCTCCATTTGATTCTTCCAGTGGCCTGATTTTTACACACCATTAAAGTGAGAGTAGGAATTTTTTCTTGTGCATTTTACTCAATTTGATTTGATAATTCTTGTATTTGTCCAATGCGGTGCTGCGCCCTTACGTTCTATCTGAGCAACTTTTCCCTTTTGTGTATTTTCGGTGCTATTTTCTCATACGGTTAAACTTATTTGCGGTCATTTAGGCATCAGTTCCACTCTTCTTGGGTATTTTTGCAAGTGCCTCATATCGTTTTTCGATTGTAAATGCCCTCTCTGATCGTTCGGTGCATCTTTTGGATCGTCTCTATGTTGGTGGCCCCCACGATTTACGCGGATTTCACTTAAATACGATTTCAAGCCAAGCCAGCGGCTCTTGCTCCCTCGGAAACGCTACGTCCTCTGTTGCCGTGTTTCATTTATACAGGTATATTTTGACTTGATTTTTCAGGTTTTTACCTTCGACTGGTAGACTGAGCAGTGTTAGCTGCCAGAGAATGTTAGCTTGCTTCTAAATAATCCTTTCGAAAGAGTTGACCATTGGACAGCCTTACCAGCGGATGCGTACTTTTAGCAGGCACGATCACTTGAGCTACTTCAGCAACGCATAGGGAGTGCACCATTGAAAAAGTTTCGATTTCGACTTTGACTGTAGAAGAGTTTAGTGTTCAAGTTAGTCCTTTTTACGTAGATTCTGTGACTACTCGAATATTTAAATATTCGTTTCTTTTCTTGAAATTGTTCTAGAACTTTGTCGCAGAAATGAACTAGTAGGAAAATGCACCCGGAAAAAGCACTGTTTCTGTCAGCATAATTGATTTTAAGTTCGAGGTACTTTGATTTCCTGTTCCTTTATCAAAATGAATACTTTTTTATGCGTTTTTTGCAGCAATGCAATGCGAAAAACGCATATTGACGAGAGGTTGTCTGT